GATGACAGCATTTTATTTTAAACCTAGAATTGGCTTGATAAATATTTAATAGTCTGAAGAGCAAGGCAGTGTCTTTAAGTTGGAATGACCCTGCAGAGCCGAGCTGACACTGCACTGAGGGTGGTTTGAGACTGAGAATTTAAAGCTTGTCAGCAGATACTCTTGACTTTTTTTAAGGCACTGCAATACTTTTATCACACTTCACACGTGTTCTTCCCAGCGTGTCTTTCTTATGATCTCCAGAATTGTATGAAATAAGACAACTTGAATTCCGTTGTGTTGGCAGCTCAGCTATTCTTGTATTCTAAAGTGTTTTCTTACTGAAAACATACAGCTTCCCACTGTTTGAGCTATGTTCAGACTCACATGTTTGTTGGAAACTATCTGTGTAAATGATCAATATACCCGCTAGTAAATGGGATCGCATCTTTGAGACACCAGCTAGACTCTAGACACTCCTTAAGTGTTATTTCTGCTCTGGTGCTCACAAACAGACACTGCAGACCACAGCAGAAGTGACAATTTGTGTTAAGAGCCAGACTGCTGTCTTGCAGCAGAAATTCTGCACGAAATGTAATTTATTAACTGTAGATGCATTAATGTGATTGTGACATGAACACAAGCAGAGGGACAGTGGCAGTATTTTAAGACGTTTGGAGAGAGGCAGACACAGGAAACAACTGCAGAAGACTTTGAGCCTTAAATCTATTTTACATTCAAGCGTGCTTTCTTAAGGAATCCACTTTCTGCTGAGCAGTGGCTTGTGAGACTTCAGAGAATGAGTCAATGAATTTTAATTATTCAGCACAGGACACGGAAGGTCTGTGGGCTACTTTTTTACAGAAACCTACAGAACCTGGTTTTGAACAGAAGGTGTGTGTCCTCTTTAGAGGACACAGCTAGACATGCTTGTATTCTGGGAGGAAAGCTCAGGGGTCTTAGGATAGTTTCTCATCTACAATTCAGCTAGAGTGTCCAATCGTTGTATTAAACATTCAGTCTTTGCCCTTCTGCCACATATGTGGACAGTAGTTTTCAGTTAAATCTTGGTTATTCTGTGTTAATCGATCTTTAGCCCAACTGTGCCCTGTTGCCCTCCTGCCACTTCTATGGTGCCACTCTGACAAGTATCTGTTCCCGAGTGGAACACTAAGCAAGAACATCCTCGCCTTCTCTCCCAGCCTCCTCCGGGCCTCCTCGGGTCCTAATTCAAGGGTCATCCAGCCAGAGGTGCCCGCATGACTGCCTGCTGTTGTTCTTTCTCTCCAATATGAGCCTGGGTTTGGGATAACCTCAGAAGCCCCCAGTGCTGCTCGATGTGTGTATCTGTCGCCTGGACAGTATCGTGCGCCCTCCAGGTTTTCTTCCCTTTGAGCACCCCCAGACCAGAGTGGAATTTCTCATGGCTCCTCAGCAGACGTGTCTCCTGCAGTGCCAGGTGTGCTTGTCAGTGTTGTATGCAGTGTGCTGTGTGTTTATGCATGCACAACACGATGTGCTTCTGATTAGCTTGCCAGGCTTAACTAGCAAATCTCAAAGTCAATTGTCTGCTTGAGGATAGCTGGTAGTGTAGCAATGACGTAATCCTATTACATTTCCTTTTCATTCATCTTTGAGGCATCTTTTTAGAAGGCTTTTTTGTCTGAAATCTTAGTATGGTAATTAAATTCGGCCGCAAGCAGAGCAGAGAGAAGTGTAATCTGTTTCGAAAGAGCAGGGGAATCCATCTGACGTAGTTTAGTAATCTTGTGCGATAGGAAAAGGCAATTGCCGGTTCTTGTTGGAGGAAATTCCATGGTAAACTGGGGGCAGCGTGGAGAGTCGAGAGCAGAGTGCCATTGGTTGAAGTCTTCCAGTGTGGGCCTGCAGCCACATCCTTGCCCAGAGCCCTTCAGCCTGATGGCTGAAATGATGCTGTATACTGTATATGGGTTCCAGCATTTACACCGTGTAGATCCCCAAGTAAAGCTGTTTGAAATAGTTTGCGTGCTGATGTATATTGTCATCTGATGATTAAGTATGTGACGAGAGAAAGATGTTTCTAGGCCGGAGAGGTCAGCCAGCATGCAAAGTGTAGGCAGAGCTGCGCGCTATTTAAGGAAGAGCTAGTCCTACAAACCTGGATGGCTGAGCCATGTCAAGACAGATATCTCTGTTTAACAGGGGACAAGCAGAAGGATATAATGGTCCAGGAGGCAAACCACCACAGCAAAACCGACTGGAGAGCTGAAAAGCAGGGCGTGACAAGCTGTAGCAGAGCTCACGCAGACTGAGACTGTATTAATCACAAAGAGAGGTCTCTGAGGGGTCCTCACGTTCAATCTTATTTGTAAATCTCCTGTAAAAAATCTGGGGTACACATTTTAAACTTACATGAAAATTATTTTGCCCAAATTGTAATGGAGATGAATAGGTGAAGGGTGAAGTTTCCATGATAATAAAAGTGGACGATGGTGACTAAGCCAACCTATTCAACATTAATCAGCTCTATGAGGGCATGACATGAAGCACATGGTCTCCAGTGAAGGGAAATGGTTTGGGGGGATTCCTAAATGGGTTTGTAGGTTTGGGAGTCTTGATTCACTAACAGT